TTAATTTTTGAAGTGAATTGTCTTTATAGTTATTTATATAAATATGAGGACTTTGTTTTGTAAAGTCCATTGGAACAGTTTTATCGGGGAGTTTGGCCTAGTGATTAGAGCAGTGCTCTTGTGCTCTGAGAAGGTTCAATAAAGGTTCAATAAAGTTCTTTTTTTTTCTATAACAGTAAACTGAATGTAATTAAACTGAACTAAATTGAAGATATGCTTCATTTTTAATTTTTTTTTGAAGCCTTAGACAAGTTTTCGTCTAGGATTGCTAACGTTTGTGAATTGTCCAAGAAACTCCTCACAGCAAATGCAGGATATGTGTAGGAAGCAATGTGTGCCCACTGTCCTTCATGGTCGGAAGGGTGGGTTAATGGTGCTAGTTTTTGTGTTCTGCATGAACGCAAAACCTTCAATTTATATATTATCTGACCAAAGCATGTTCTTCCAAATGCTTGGGGCAAAGAATAAATAGGATTTTATGTTGTTTCCATCTATAATAAGCCAAAAACATTGAAGCTGGTGGTATTCTAAAATGGTCTACGAGGTAAAAAATGGTTTTGCATTGGAGGCCATCTATTCATAAAAATAGTTTCCTTTTTTTGGTGAAATATTGCCTAATTTAACCCTGTTTTATTATATCTAACAAATGTTTTTGCATAGACAGATTTTAAATGCACAACCCAGGTGGAGTTTGCCCCACAACCTTTGACCTTTGACTCACAAGTTGAGGACCCCGCTTTGGTCTGGATTCCAGCACAACTACAGCTTCAGGTTCAGTACTTGCACTTTGCAAGGTAATAACAGAGGGGGAGAATAAAGAATAAAATGCAGCCCATAAATAATTAAATTTGATAGCTTAGTTTTTGCTAAATATTTTACTACAATAAAATGGTCTGGTTCCTCTTGTCAGTCATCCAAATCAGAAGTTTACAAGATAAAGTTGAATAACTGCTCACAGCAGCTTCCCTCCATTCACCAAAGAACTTTGCATGTTACTATTATATGGGTCAAGACCAGACTGCGTGCTATAAACTCATATGGGTTAAACATCCTTACTAGGCTGAATATGCAGTCTTTAGTTTACAGATAAGAAACATTTATGAAACTCTTATCACTTCCTGTTTGCCTCACTGCAAACACGTGCCTGAAGAGGACATAAACACGTTTATAATGTTCACCATGATCCTTTTCACTGTGTGTCTGCGTGTTGACCTGTTTATAGAGGGTTCGGACTACAGCGTATCCAAGCAGATGTGGCAATATGTTCAGATCAGCTTCATGTTCTATTTTCACCTCCAACTTTCTTTCATAGTTTCAATTACATCTTTTACTACACTCTGTCATATTAACACTCATCCCGAGTTTTTCCTAAGGTTTCCATGTAACTTGAACTTTTTTCGCATTTTATCAAAACTCAAACCTAAGACTTCTGTGCTTTTAATTAGAATTTTAAGTGATACTCAATCACAAAGGAATGCATAGTTCTCTAGAGGAATAGGAATTATACTTGGTTTTTATTTATATTTACAAAGACATTTAACAAGCAGATCCCTGAGACCCAGGGATTTAGCCAGACACAAGGTGTGTATTTAAAAACTTTACTAAGAATTGTGGGTAATACATTTTTATTAATGTAGGCAGTCAGAGTGGTAGCAATCTTACGCTGGTAGATGGTGACTGAACCAAATTATGGCAGGGACAACAGACAGGCAGCTGGCTTGAGGAGGCAGATGAACCTGCAGATGACAGGCTAAACTGGCCAACTAGAGACCTGAAAAGGTAGTCTTTGAGTAGAGTGGATGATGACTGACAGGCAGGAAATAGGCTTTGAGCAGATTGCATGCAGGTAGAAGAAACTGGTGTCAGGCAGAAAGAGTCTGTAAAATGATCAGCATTAGAAGCTGATAACAATCCAGCAGAGGAGTGGGCTCTGTCACTGGACTTACTGGACCTAACATGAACAAGGAGACATTCTGGTGGGGAAAAACTGAGAGTGGTAGGTAGAATAGGCAAAGTAACAGCTAGGAGAGATGTAGGAGATTGGGAAAGTTGCAGGTGCATCTGCCAACCTCTAATTAGCAGAGTTGAGCAAAGAAGAAATTAGTAAACAGTCAGCCAGCCCAAAAACAAAGAGACAAGATTTAAGACTATCTATCAAGAATATCTAAGTCATATTGAGGACATCATTTTCTTCCTATATCTTTTTACAAATACTTTAAAGATACAGATATTATGCTTTTGAAAAATACTTCATTTTCATCTAATTTAGCCATTACACATTACTCCATCATATAAAATCTAAATGCTACATTAAAGTTTGTGTGTGAGATGTCAATCATTTTGAAAGCTAAGTATCAGCTATTTTTTCAAATGCTATTCCCACTATTACATATTGTTATGTTTTAGTATAGTCTAAGTTCCAACAATATTTAAAAAAGGAAAATCATTTGGAGGACTTTTTCATGACTTCGAAGTTTACACATTTTTGTTTCCTGTTGCTTAAAGGTTATCTATTGTATGAAGTAAAATTCCTCCACCTGCTTATCTGCGCCCAGCTCTTATTACGGCTCATCTGATCCACCTGCTTCAGTATCTATTTAACCAGCCTTCAACCAGTCATCAGTGCCGGGTTATATCGAGCCTGTGGTGAGAGGTTTTCATGTTTATATGTTTCTGATTACCTGATCCTGCCCCGTTTTGCCTCTAAACCTCTGAGCCTGCCTGTCTCCATTCTGATCTGTTTGCCTGACATGTCTTCTGACTCCTGCCAGATCTCTGCCTGTCTGTGTACCGAACCTGGAACTTTTTCCCAAATTCGTTCTGGATCCTTCCTCGGCATCTTTTTGAATCTCTGATCTCCTGGCTATGACTACCAAGCACGTTCTTGATACCGTCATCGCGTGGGCAGCCGACCGGCTGGAAGCAACCTCACCCTCTGCGTTCGGTATGAACTATAAGATAAGAGTTTGCTGCTTTAGACAGGTCATCTTTGTTAAAATTTATTTCCAAGGGATGAGATACCAAAACCTTAAATCAGAGACATAGAAGTTATTATGTAAAGTCCTAAATTATTTGATTTTACTTTTTTATGTGTGTTTCCTGTTTTGCATATAAAGTTCAGAGAATCTATGTCCCAGAGTTACATAATCGTCCAATAGATCTTAAATCTTAATTTATATCCTAACTTGGTGTTTACAGCTCTTCTTTATAAATGTTTTTTTTATGATATTACGAAAGTTACTTTTACAATTATAATTCAATCCTTTCTTATTGTTTCTATAATGTAGTAAATATCAGTGCAGATTCCAAGTCCTGGCAAAGTTAATCTTTTACGTGCAGAATAAACTGTTGAAACTGGAAGCTTTGGCAACAGGTGTACATAACACGACGTGCAAAATGACCAGGCAGCATTCTATGTTAGTTGAACATCTCAGACGAGAACTAACAAAGGAACAAAAAAAGAGTAGTATTACATTGGCATCAGAGGGTGTATGTCTGTCAATGAATAGCTAAATGAGCAAAAGATAGCCTGAAAGGTTACAGTTTAAGACCCTGTTAATCTGAATGTCTCACTACATCATTAAAGAAAACAGGTCAAACCAATGTTTAGTCTGCAAAACGTTTTATTGGTTTTAAGAGTTGAGGCAGCTTGAGAAAAAAAATGTCTCACTTCTCACTTCACTTCAGACATCAACGTCTGCAGAAACTCAATGATGAAACGCCTATAAAAGTAAAATTTAATTTCCTTTCCTAAAACTAGTCATTCTGTATGCGGTGAGGCCAGTTTGACCTCAGCGTTGACTGAGAGGCCGCTCCTTTACATTTAACTAAAAGTTGCAGCCTCCGACTTGGATCAATCAAGCATTAAGCCAATATTAATGCTTATTTAAGACTAATCTTTAGCTATTTGGACACAATGATAAGGTGTATGTTATGGTTAGTTAAGACAAGGCTTTTAAACATAGAAAAGCGTGAATTTTAAACAAATTAACTAGTACTATGAATATATTACCCCATTTATTTACCCTTTTGTATTATTAATAATACATTACACAGATGTAGGTAAAATAAAAAGTTAAGTGCTTTTTATACAACATGTGCTCGCTGTGTGCATGCTGCATGACTGGACCTGGGGTGAATGCAGTTTGTTAACCCTTGAGATTAACACCTAAAGATGTTGATAATTAACTCTGTTAAACCTTTCAATCATTAAGGCTAATCACAAATTACTCTGTAAACACTGCATGCATGCATGTGTTAATGTGCTGACATCAAGAAAAAGCTTTACAAGAGTGATTTAAAAAGTTGAACAGAAATCTTGGAGAGTTTTGTTTCAAGGAAAAAAGTCCGCCTGACCTTTGAAACATGTCACTGCACAGCTGTTTTTTTTTCTTTTCTTTTACAGTGTATATGAATTCAATGGTGTGGTATTAGTTTAATTAGCAGATATTCATTTCACCCCTCACACTATAACTAACGTGTAAGTCGAATTCAGCTGAAAGAAAATTACGGTTAGTCCTTATATCGTGGATTATCTGCCTCTGATTCCTGCTGTGATAAGAAGTATCAGTTCTTCCAGAGGCTTTTCCATCTTCCTTTGGTGTAATCATAAAACAATATTAGCAAGGACAACCCTGATTAGGGGGAAATAACTTGATTATCTTATCATAAATAAATATGCTTAAAGGCATGGAATGTGCAGATAAGACACATCTAAGAGTTTTTGCACAGCTTGAACTTGGGTAAAACAACCCTCCAAATCTATATACCATTAAAACATATTGTATTTGGTTTGCTTTTTGCAGATTACTTTCATTCTTTTGCATCAAACAAGTTGTTGAAATCCCCAAATTAGCTTTTTTGTGTTGAGAAGCAGTGAGCTGACTCATTCAGACAGTTATAAGACACTCATAATGACACACAGACACATGGGGCGTACATGGACACAGTTACCTGTTTTCACTTGTTATTTGCATTGAAGGAACTTTGCTCCGTCTTTCCTTGACCAAGTCTGGTGTCATATCAGGTGTTCTTTTCTAAAGCACTTACGCCACAGCAGTGGAGGAGGAAGGTCACAGTTGTATGAGTAACAGAGTTGAGGACATTGAGTTTAGAGTCGTTTGGATCTGATGGAAAACTGGGCCACAATTTCAATTTGCCATCCAGGAACCACCTCTGCGCTCAGGCTGGGTTTATTCATCAGAAAGAGAGAAGTGTAATCTTATGACTTTTGAGGAAGACTTATGGGGGAGGGGTAATATATGATTTGAAGAAGGTTTTATTCAAGCCTTATTGCTCTTGGGTTAGAATTTTTAGAACAGAATACCACACACTGCATCAGGTGTAAAAGCTTTACGGTTTGACTACACATTAGCATCATTCTCATCAGAGTATCACAGGAATCCAGGATTGGAATCTAAGCTTTGGAGGTGGAAACTGGAATCTCATCTTATTTACTGATCGCACCAAGGTAATTCATTATTTCATCTGGAATTTGCTGTATGAAACAGTTGATTCTCAGTGAAGTCATACTTTAAATAAATTTTAAAATGCTTCCTTTTATTTTGTTGCAAATCAGACTGTTTTTTTATAAAGTGGTCCTAATTATCAGTTCCAACTTTAGAATCGTGTTTTGGTTTAAGTTACACTGTGCATAACTGTGAATCATTCAGCCACAAAAAAATAATAACTCAGTCATAAAAATAATTCAGTCGTGATAAAGTCACGCTTCTATGACGAGGAAGTATGGGTGGTTGATTATAAAGTATTGCTCAATTTGAGCAAACCAATGTGGCTCCAATGTCTTTCAATAATAACTGAAAGATTTGCTGGCAGCTTTTTGTAGCCATGGAGGAGAGAAGAAGGCTGCCCTACAAAGTGGACAGGGAGTTCCTGGATGAAGGCGCTCTGGATGAGATAGGAGAGAAGAACGAATCCAAACCATCTCTGTTAAACAAGATAAAAGGCTCACTGAGGTAAAGCCTTATTTATTTCACTCTTACATTAAAGTACGCATCCACCCTGATTAACTTTAAAATATGTATTTAACAATTAAGAATACAATAAAGTCAACTAAAAATAGGGGCTATCTAAATAATTTTCTAACTTCGCTGGGTAAATAAAGATTTATAAATCAATTAACCTGCTTTCTTTTGTCCTTATCAGTTAAAGTGGAGCTGCAGTACTGTTTGCCTGTTTAAATGTTTGGATGTTGTTGCACTTTGCCTCTCCTTTCTCATTGTTTGGGGAGCTGTGATATAAAATAACTGTCAGCTGCACAGATTTGAATAAAGCTATGAGTGAACATTAATACTGGTTGTTGGTGTGTGAAGTCACATTCTATAAAGCCAATTATTTTGGTCATCAACAAACACATGCATAGAAGAAGATTCCTTTTAAAAAACTATAATAGCAGTACCACTGGCAGGGTTTGGGTGGGGCTAAAAATTATTTAATCTTGAGCCGCATCTTAAATTCTGTGATATTATGGCTAGAATCACTCAATATGATTATATATCAGTTACTTTCCAGAAGTAATGTATTCTTTTTAAATTATTATTTTTATGTCAGTTAATAAATTCTATTATGTTATATTAAATGAATAGTTCTAATCAGCACTGGACTCTTAAAGTCACAATGCTATGTGTTATTAGAAGGAACAACGCCAAAAGAAAAAAAAAATGAATACAATTCTTTATCTTTTTGATACTTATTGAGTTTCATTTATAAACTTACAAATTCACAATATAAATCAAATTTTTAAACACCTTAAGTCTCATAGTACTTAACCAATTTTGTTGTTATAACAATAAATATAAAAGCAGAAATGCACACATTTATGTTTGTGGAAAATATTTAACATGCTGTATCTCCAAATATAAGTGCAGGTTATATGTTCTGAAAATTATAAATCCTGCAAAGTGAGGATTTTATTGGTTACATGTATATTAATTTCCCAATTTTTCTGCTAAAAATTTCTAGAAGATCGTAGTGAATGTTATACATCTTTATACTGAAATGTACTTCAGGAGAGATAATGTTTTTTTCACTGTTTTCTGTTGCTCCAACTCAGGTGTAATGGTCCCCGGGTGAAGAGCTGTATGCTGGGGACCTTTCCTGTTTTTTCCTGGCTGCCTCGTTACAAATTCAAAGAGGATGCTTTGGGTGACTTGATCTCAGGAATCAGTGTGGGGATTGTGCAGCTCCCACAGGGTGAGACAGAGCTCCACTGGGCGAGGGTGGAGTTGGGGTGGTTACAGAATTAAAAGAGAGAGCCATAAATTATTTAACTATGGCGGTAGGTTAATAAGTTCCAAGGCAGTAAACCTTTGCAACATTTCTTTGTTGGTTTATTAAGCAGTCCACCGACAGAAGACAATGTTGCTGGTGTTTATTCTGTTTTTTTTAACTCTTCAAAGATTAAAGGCTTAAACAGCAGGATTCCTTCTGTACATTCAATAATCTAAATCAGTATTTAGAAGGAAGGAAGGAAGGAAGGAAGGAAGGAAGGAAGGAAGGAAGGAAGGAAGGAAGGAAGGAAGGAAGGAAGGAAGGAAGGAAGGAAGGAAGGAAGGAAGGAAGGAAGGAAGGAAGGAATGATTTCTTGGTTGCTAACACTTTTGATTCAGATCTAATAAAGTTTTTTTCTTTGTTCAGTGTCTTGTTGTGAGGTAGTTTAGGGCTAAATCATTTTCCAGGACTGTAATATACATTTGATTCAATCTCAGAATGACGGAGAAATAATATTTTCCTTCATGTTTGTATTCCCTGTAGGTATGGCCTATGCACTGCTGGCATCTGTTCCTCCGGTATTTGGTCTTTACTCCTCCTTCTACCCAGTTCTCATTTACTTCATTTTTGGAACATCAAGGCACATCTCAGTTGGTATGTTTATTGTATTGGTCCACTTTAAAACTTTTGATGGTAAGCATTGCTTATAGCAGGAATATCCATAGTCTAAAATAAAATGTCCGCCTCTGACAGATTTATAGGTGAGCATGGAAATTACAGAGAATTATAGAAGTTACCAAAGCAGGGACAATATCTTGGTGTCCATTATTTAAATAACTGATTAAGTAAACAGTCTTATTTCACCTCACATTCATAATATAGATGTTTTAATTTAAAAATATTATATTTGTAAGTATTACACTTACAAATATAGGTATATAGTTTTCCTAACTGAATCAACTTTGGGAGAGTTACTATCAAACATGCTTGATTTTAGTATCTAGTCTTTATAAAAATCATGTTTGAATTTTTCTTGATTGTAAAGAATGAGATAACTCGATAATAATCCTGTGGTATGAGTGAGGCGGTCAGAGCTGGCAGGAAGACAGATGAAGCTAAATGTAAGAGATCCCCTGAAGAACACCTGTTAGATGCTGCAAACGACATGAGACTGTGATTCATGATCCAGCAAGGCCAACCGTAAACACACAGCCAAAAATACAATAAAAGAGTTTATATCAGAGCACAATTATTGATTACTCTAGCCTAAGTCCATACCTATATTAAACTATAACCTTTGGCGAGACGTAAGAACTGCCATTCAGAGAATTTCTCTGGCTGCTGTTCTACAGGGTTTGATGCTCTACTTTGTGTTGGACAAGGACACAGTTCTCCTTCGCACACATTTACACAGTTTGTTGTGGTAAGATGAAAGATTGTGCAAGCATTGCAACTCTTAAAGTTAAATGCTTGAGGCATGACAGCTAAGGCTTGGCTAAAACTGGGTTATAAAACACAGAATTTATCCAATCATAGGCAATAAATCAGTTTATAATCTCATTTATATGAACAAGTGAAACAGTTGTAATGAAAATGCGCCGAATGAATGAATAATGAATAAGCTGACCCAAACACCAGCAGAAATACATGTTTATATGAAAATAAACTTGCAATTACATTTTGCACCAAAAAGTTAAGTTTAAGTGTAGCTTTTATAAATCCATTAAGTTTGCTTAACACTGTCAACACAGCAAAATTTGTTCAAAAAAAAAAAAAAAAAAAGGCTCAAAATAAAAAAATAAAAAATCTGAACCAAATGAACAAGAAGAAAAAGCACTGGGTGATCCTGTTCCTCATATCCTGTTCCTTATTCCTATGTTCAGGAACATACGCAGTTATGAGCGTGATGATAGGAGGGGTGGTCGACCGACATGCACCGGATTCAGACTTTGAGATCTGGGACAATGTGACCAACTCCAGCATCATCGACATTGTTGCTCGAGATAAATACCGGGTCCAAATAGCAGCTGCAGTTACTCTTTTATCTGGTGTGTTTCAGGTAAGTCTGAAGCAAGCTTAACACATCAATCAGTGTTGGAGGCAGGAACATATTGTGCTTCTAAAAAAATCTAACTTCCTGCAGAAAACTACCAGTAGGTCATAAAGTAGGCTACTTATTGCAAACCGCTAATTATAAATAGCGTGGTTATGCAAAAATAAAATACTCTAAAGGTTACTGATTACTTTGACTCTAGAAAGGGTGACTTTATGGCTGCATTAGCTAATCTTCTAAGATTATATGAACTTGTAGGTTGTATACTTGAGAAATTCCAGGTTTTATTAGTTGCGCAGGTTAAAAACGCATTCTGTTTTAGATAACCCCAAAATCCAGAGGTCTTGCAACATCTAAGTCTGCATGTTTTAAATACTTTTAAAAGAAGAGATGATTAAGAACAACTAAAGCCATTCAATTAAAGGAGAAACATCCTTTTGAATTTGTTTCCAAGAACTCCAACTTAGCAAAAATAGCATTTTAATCAATATAATCAGTGATATATCAATTGGTTTTTTTTTGTTTTTAAAAAGAGATGGGGTTTTTTTTCCAGGCTCAGACAAATTGTCTCACAAATTTTGACTTAGATTTAAGTAAAACTACCCAAATTCAGCCAAAGCAGCATAAACCTAACACAGGGGCTAAAGAAATGAGACAACAGATGTGTAAAACAACTGAAATTCAAAATCTGTTCCTGGACTTAGAATAGAAGCTCCCTAAATAGTACAGATAAAAAAAAAAAAAAAAAAAAATCATTATAGTTTTTTATAGTTTTTTGCATAAAAGAGCAGTAATCTAGTGGAAAGGTTTCTGATGAATGAAGCAGATATCAGGCAGGAGAAATGTGCAATTTCAGGAAAGTTTGATGCTTTAGATTTCTTTTACTGGTGAAGTTGTGAAATACATCAACAATTTAAAAAACAAACAAACAAATTCTCACGTTAAAGATCAGTCAGGAGCAGGATATAGAAATAGATGAGGACGACACCTGGCTCCAAAGTTTCATTTACTGAACTTAAATAGCTCTAAAATAATTATTTAAGCTCTACTCACCTAATTGCAAGTAAATCAATGCAAACATTAAAATCTCAAAATATCTTCAACAACCAAAACACTGTTTATTTCTGTCATGTGATCTTGCGCATGCATTGTGTGCAGATTCTTCTTGGCGTGATCCAGTTTGGGTTCGTGGTGACCTACCTGTCTGAGCCCCTCGTCCGAGGTTACACCACAGGAGCCGCCATCCACGTCGTTGTTTCCCAGCTCAAATATGCCTTCGGTATCGATCCAAACAGATACAGTGGACCTATTTCCTTGATTTATGTAAGACAAATAATTATTGTTTCCATCATAGAAATGAATTTTATTTCCTGACATTACATAAAGTGTCTTTGGTCTTCTAGACGGTGCTGGAGATCTGCTCTCTCCTTCCGCAAACAAATATTGGCACATTGGTGGTCAGCATCATCACCATTGTTTGCCTCGTCGCTGCCAAGGAGTTTAATATATGGTTGAAGAAAAAGATACCTGTTCCACTTCCCATTGAGCTAATTGCTGTAAGTACAAAGCAATGTGAATGCTCCACTAAAAAAACAGCCTCTTTAGTTGATCTGTTCTTGGTTTCCTCTAGATCATCATTGCCACAGTTATCTCTTGGAAGGTTAATCTAGAGGAAAGATATGGAGTGGATGTAGTGGGAGATATTCCCTCTGGGTGAGGAAAACACATCTATTATTGCACATCTCTGCTAAAGAGATGTTTGTTACGTATCTCGTTCCATCCCCTATCTCTGTTTGTCAGTCTCCAAGCGCCTGAAGTTCCTGCAGTCTCCCTCTTCGGCCATATAATCGGGGATGCCTTTGCCCTTGCTGTTGTAGGGTATGGCATTGCTATCTCTCTTGGACGAATATTTGCACTCAAATATGGTTACAAGGTGGACAGCAACCAGGTAGTGTGACCGAGAATAAATTATTCAAGGTTGATCTATTTGACTGTAGGGTATAGAATATAAATCCTGGTGTTTTATTGTTTAGGAGCTACTCGCCCTCGGCTTGAGCAATTTAGTTGGAGGATTTTTCCAGTGTTTTGCCATCAGCTGCTCAATGTCTCGCACTATGGTCCAGGAAAGCACAGGAGGACGGACCCAGGTTGGTAAATGTGTCTCACTTTGTATTTCAGTACAACTGAGTAGTACTTTCCAGACTTAAAGATTTTCTTGTATTAATGAGCAGTTCTTTGGGGGTATTTATCAGACACCCGCCTCCTCCTATAAGCTTATTTAAAGAGAACCCTGAGGCTACGTAAAAGGAGTCGTGCTTTTTTAAGACCAGTCTCCTTATTTAGTTTCCAAAAAAATTAGCTGTACCAACAAAAAGCCAAATAGGAGACCAGCAAACACAACACAGTCATACTGTTTATTTAGTACTCAGGTAATGGAAAACATCATATGGTGATATGTATATTATTATCACAAATTACTTATCCCTTTATTTTCCTGACAAGAGAACCTTTTGGTGTGAGAAAATTGGTTAAAACCTAAAAACATCAGGAGAACTCTAAACCTGGAGATCTGACAAACGGGTTTGATTCATAGAGAGCGTTTCCTTCAGCTGGCAGGACTTAAAGGGTCTCCTCCCCACGTATTAGCATCAGATATCACAGCGCTCCTTAAAAAATCTTGCAAAGTCTATGTCTGTTAGGGCTTTTTGGCAAAAATGAGGGGAGAGGAGGCAACAAAGCATTCTCAGAGAGGAAGTTATATTGTTTTAGGATCCCTGATGTTCTACTATTTAATAGAAACAATTCCACGGATGTAGCTAACATCTGGAAACAAGTGTCACTGCAGAGGAAAGGAAGTTAATAAAAATGAAGGATTTGAATTTGATTTTAAAAAAATGCCAAAAAAGACCTATCAAATTAAGAAATGGTTGCCTTTAAAAAAATACTATGAATCTTATAGAAAGCAGTATAAATATCTACTTTCTGAAGGCTGTTAAGAAAGGTATTTTGACATTCTGCTGCTGTTATAAGAAATTATTTCCCCGATAGTAGAAACATGCAGCCGTGTCTGGTTTAGAATATCTGGAGATGACCTTAACAAAAACATCAAAGTAAAATAAATAAAGATAAACATAAGATGTGACACTACACAGCTTATTTCCTGATCACTTTGTTGTTCCACTTACATAAACCTCCAAACTTTGGTTTGGGGAACCAGTCCTCTCCAAAGAGAAAGTCACGATCTCAAAGGAGCAAGCTCCAATTTGGCTGACATAATTTTAGCTCAATAGGTTTGTGTTGTATTCTGTCCATGGCACAAAGCCCTTACAAACGTGAGTTGCACATTTTTCCTCTGCACCGCTGCACTACATCTCACCGTGTGTTTAAAAAAGCACTAAAAGGCAGATCATTGATCTCTCTCTGCACAGAGGAGATGCCCTCTAATGGGGGGGATTCCCATCATCAGACACAAAACAAAGGCTATAAAAGAGACCCACCACCAGTACCACAACAATATTATCAGTCTAGTATTAACTCCACATTCAGATCATTCATTAACATGATAGAAACACTTGGAACTGTGGCAAACTGAGACAAATGAGGACCTGAATTTAGTGAAGAGGTGAATATATGCAAAGGGACGTTTATATAAACGCCTTTTGCAGATTTTACTTTAACTTATATCCAAAAAAAAGAGATATGACATGAAGTTTAACGGATCCAGGATCGGTCTTCTCTGAAAGAAGCATTTCACTATTTCTTCTCTCTCTTTCAGCTCACTCCGCTAATAGCCACATCATTAATCTCTTGAACGTTTCTCTCTAATGCTTTTCCTCTGATCTTTTTCTCTTTATATCCATCCATCCATCATGCCTGTTTCCCCACCCTCTCTCTCTCTCTCTTCTCTGCAGGTTGCTGGAGCTCTGTCAGCGGTGGTTATCCTTATCATCACTCTCTGGATTGGAACTCTCTTTGAAGATCTGCCCAAGGTATTCACATGTGTTCACCCACACACAATCATGAACATGTGTACAAAACTGAGCAGGAATGTGTGAAGAATTTTAAGGGGTTCCTCAAAGCCAAAACCAGGAGCGATTTAACTCACAGCTGTGGATTGAACTCTGAAATACAACCAGCAGATTGTTCAGGTTAAACACTTGTGATACTTTAATCCTCAGCCAATGCATTTCATGACATCACATACAAGCAGATCTTTGTTAGGTCTCCACAGTTAAAATTTTCGAAGCACTCCAGTCCTATGAATAAACTTTAACTCCATTGTTGAGCTCATTAAACTCAGCTCAGTGCTCGATATCAATTACTCTACTTGATTAATTTTTCAGGCAGTGCTGGCTGCCATCATCTTCGTTAATCTCCACGGTATGCTGAAGCAGTTCTGGGATATTCCCGCCTTGTGGAGAAGCAATAAGATCGACATGGTGAGTGTGCCAAAAGGTTGGTAGGGAAGAAGAGTATAAGCAAAGGCAGATTACTTAGTTTCATTTTTATATGAAAATGTTTTTATGAAATGTTTGTACCTCTTTGTTCTTCATTACCTCTGTAAAATAACACAGCATATTTTTTTTTTTTATTTTTCTAATCCAAACATAGCAGTGCTTAAACCTTCAAGCCCTTCAATGTCCCGATATTCATCCATAAGCACAATTGTCTTTTAGAGGAATAAATAGCTAAAGACAACTGAAGTCGTTTAACTCTGCATTAACTTCTCTATATGTAACACAGTGATATGTTCTCTTTAGTTGTTCTGCATGTGTAGGAGATGGAAAACCTTCAAATGGTCAATCATGTCACATGTTTAACCCATTAGACCACAAATAAGCATTTTAAAAGGATTTGTTCATTTATTTATATAATTAGCACATTAAAAAACAACTATGGTGACCAAAGCACATAAAAAAGATCAGATAGACAAAAACTACATATATTAATGAAAGCAGAAAGCCCTTTGTTGCTCTCTTTTGTCTTTGATTTTATTCTTATTCATGGTGTTTTTGTGTTTGAAAACATCCTTTTTGTCTTATTTTTGTCCTCATCTCTTCTGCATATTTAAGAGTTAACTCTTGCCTTGCTGTACATAATCAAGTAACCTTGAGTGATTAAGGTTTTATTTGGTCCCCTGACTTGTGATTCTTTCTTTCTCCAGCTGGTGTGGATTGTCACCTTCATCTTTACTGTGTTGTTGAACCCAGACATTGGACTCGCTGCCTCCATCGCCTTCTCTTTACTCACTATCATCTTCAGGACACAGCTGTAAGAAGGCCTTACTGGTAACATTCACAAAAATATGACGCTCCAGAAGTTTTGCAGCTACTGAGAGAATGTAAGCATGTTGATTATTAGTTAAAGGAAACACTGACTGTTTTCCCCTTCAGGCAATACATTTATATTTTTTTTACATCTTTAACATACACTTTTTCAACAGGAAGGGAAATTAATTAACCGCCTCTTTGTGTTACACATTTCAGACCCAAGTACTCCCTGTTAGGACAGGTGGCAGACACGGATATTTACAAACCAGTGGAGGAATATGGTCTGGTAATGTCAACAAACCTCTTATTTTTGTTAGCATTAGCATGTCCAGATTATAACCACCCAACTTATGACCGGTTTATATATATAAAGTGCAAAATATATCTAAATCCTACAGTATATTAGGATTTTACTTCTTTATTTAACCATATTCTACAGATTATAGCCATGCAGGGAAAGTATGGAGCTTGGCCTCAATTATCACAAATACACATATGTGAATCATACTTGCACAGGACAAGATCCACACGCACATCACAATTCATGCAAGCGCAAAACAATCTACACTTACACAGTACAGAATCCACACATGCACAGAACAAGACTCACCAAAGTTTTTCTGGTACATAAACAATTATAAAGGATGTGTGATCTGGGGGTCATCCCATGTGAGGTACCTTCTTGTGATTGGCTTACACAAAGGAGCATTGTGATTGGTGGCAAACCATTACCTGCTTAAAAAAATGCATTTGTGTATCGAGGCACGTCAGCACAGTCTCAAAAATCCACACACAAGTGCAGTGAAGTTTAAAGACCATTGGTATTTTGCAATTTAATCTATAATTGTTTATGGACCAGAAATACTTTGGTGAATCTTGTTCTGTACATGTGTGGATCTTGTATTGTGTGTGTGTGGATATTTTTGTGTTTGTGTGAATCGTTCCATGCATGTGTGGATCTTGTCCTGTGCATGTGTGAATCGCATATGTGTATTCGTGAAAAATAAGACCGATCTCCATAGGAAAGAGTCCAATTTTCATTTTGTCAGAAGATTGACTGAAAAAAGTAGAACCAATGTATTTCTTTGAAGCCCTTTAAAATTTCACATGGTCATTCAAAGTGACCACCTTTTACTTTGCAAAACACTGGCCACTTTATGAGGTAAACTCTAATGCCACCATGCTGGATGACCCTGTAGCCCATTTGATTTTAATATGCCTTAATTTTTCTCTGCATAATTCAACCCCAAGCATCACACCTCCACAATTTTAATCTCCTGTGAGTGTGGAGCTCTTTTGAATTCCAACAAACCAATTTTCTGTTCTATTAACTGACAGAATTTGAGCTCGGTGGATTGTACTGCTGTGATACACTGTGATCATAAAGTGATGGATTCTCTCAGCAACCCCTCTAAAAAGATCTGTGGTGTTTATAAAGTGTGTATCGACTACATAAAACACTACACACCGATCACCTGAAGGACTTATGCAAGGAAGGATGGATCCATGTGTTCATGTTGTTTTATAATTTATTTTCCTACCTTGTGAATGTTGCAGGTGAAATCAAGACTCACTGAACCATACCAATAGTTAAGCCGACCGAGTTGCTTCTACAATATATTGGCCAGTGAGTGGATTAGAGTTATTGCGGAAAACTCTGAAACACTTTTAACATCTTCATTCCAGTTTTTGGTCCTAACCAAATCAGTATAAATTCTGTCAGGTTTGCTTAAAACAATGAACAAGATAGAAAGATAGATCTCTAAGAAAAATGACAAAAATCTAGCAAAGATCTCACACAATGTGTCCCAAGTAATTTTCTTGTTGCTGAAAAACGGTTGAGGGAAAGATTTATGGAGCCAAATACTGGGCAGCTCTTTAGGAAAGAGGCTGAATAAAGGCTGAGAGGGCAGCGGTTAAATGCAGGAACAGCAACGAAAAGCTTTAACAATAAATAAATCAGAGAGACTGATCCAGATATGATTGTTTTTATAAAAATGAAACATAATAAAAAGTTCAAATTCTATTAGGTACTAATTTTTACTGGGGTGTGAGCTTAAATACCTTATGCTTTCTATAAGTCTTTCAAGATGTTTAAATATAATATAAAGCAAATACTGATGTTTATTTTGCTTTATAGTCTGAGTTTGGTTTGAGCATTTACAAAGTATTTTTTCTGTGTTTACCTACTTTATGGATATCAGGCGAGGCAGGTGCCAAGAATTTTAATCTTCCGCTCTTCTGCCACCCTCTACTTTGCCAACGCTGAGATGTACCAAGAAGCTCTGGCAGAAAAGGTGACAACACGAACACAAACAAAATATTAAAGCTACAAACCTCTTCTAGCAGGGCTAGATGTGCTCCTTCTAAAGTGAAAACAAAATACGCTTTTAAAGATTTCCCTGTATGAAACCCAGGGCCCTCATGAGAGCTGATGTAAGCCATGCACCATAATGGCCTTGATTCATTGAACCAGATGCATAAACACACACATATGCATGGAAACAATATAAAAGAACCCATGGCAGCTGCAATCCTTCTTGTCACAATCTCTCTGCAATCGACTTCTCTTTTACAAACATCACTTCTGACACACTAACAACAGATGAGGCATGTTACCATTCACACATCACCGTCGTGACAGACATTGTTAAAAATGCCATCCTGCTAATTTCTCTTCTCTTCTAAAGTTCTCCCTCCAACACCCCCACCCTCCTCCTCCTTACTTCTCCTTTTTCTTCTTCTTCTTTCACGTCTACTTGTTGTAAATAGGAAGACAAAGGGAGGGAACTTGGACAATAGATGCCAGCAGACAGGGGAGGGGTGAGGGGTGCACAGCCTGAATCAGGGTGGGAGATAATGGAACATTTCATTAAAATGTCAACATGTCAAAGACAAAGAATTTCTCCTCTCTCCTTTCTCCTCTTTGAGACACTATTTTGAGCTCTTATTGGGCAGGCATGCACTGACCGAAGGGGATGTTTACAAAAGGTGAGAAATCACCACCAGTGAAAACGTGGGCATAAAAGGTTTCTCATCAGATGATGAGAGATATTGGAATTTAGTGTTATTTTAATCTGTTGTTGCAGACATGGTTTAACAAGATCAATTTAAAATGCCCAAGAGTTCCAATAATCTTCAGTGCAGCTTCCTTTGTCTTTTTCTAATGGAACTTAACTACTATACAGAAACTAGCAAATGGAGATGCACAGAAAAAAATGGCAAGTGGATTTATGGAACTGAGAAAGGTACAGATTTTGGAAACAGGCTGGCTTTAGAAATATCAGGCTTTGACCAGATTTGAAAGGTCAAGCTGAGCCCTAAAGAGAAAATATGTCTGAATGAAAGGGATAAAAGTCAACAAATGAGTGAGTAGAGTAGCTGCACTGACTGGAGGTTAGGGTCGATGAGATGAAGGTTGCCTCTCCTGCAGGCAGACACAGAATTACATGGAGGTTGCAGCAGCAGTTCAACCAGATCCAGCTATATGTAGGGAGAACATCGGGTCTCATCAAAAATCCACCTCCCTCTATTATTGCAAATCTGCTTCATATATATTTAAAGTTGTGTTGTTTGAGCTGAAATGCAAAACAAATTGATTTACTCACAAAATAAATCCTGAAAGTTTGCCTAAGGTTTACATTTGGAAATGTTATGAGAGGAATCAGCACCTGACGAATGAAAATATGATTTGTTGTTTATATACTCAGATTCCTACGATAAAACTACATATGTATTTTTAAAATAAATATTTATTTTCAGCTGTATTTTATGCTATTAATTTGAGTTGATGTTTTTCTTGCTCCAAATTCTGCAGCTTTTAAATGAGATTGTTTCAAACCAGCAGCCTTTAATTGACAAATCAAACCTGACATAAAGGCCATGCTCCTTTGTCTGATAATACGCTACGAATTTTTATTTAAAATAATAAAAGGAAAACTTTGGGGGGATTTTTCTGTGCTGTTTCTTTTAGACTGGAATTGACATCACAAAGATCCTGTCAATAAAGAAGAAGATGGAGAAAAAACGTAAAAGACATGAAAAGAAAATGGCCAAGAAGGCAAAGAAAGAGCTAAAAAAGAAGAAGAAGCAGAAGACAGACATAGTAAGCTGAACCCAAAGAGGGAACCAGAACAGATTTACTAGAACAAATTTTCATATTTCATTTTTTTTCTTCTGATTTTGCTAAACTCTAACTGTGTCTATTATCCTTCTAAGCAGCAGCAGGAGGAGTCAGCAGAGTCGGGAGAGTCAGACTCCGACCACCAGAGGCAAATCGCCACAATCGATGTGGACGATGCTCCTGACCCCACCCTGCCCAAAGCCATCATCCTTGACCTTAGTCCTGTGAACTTCCTGGATACAGTGGGGGTCAAGACAATAAAAAGCGTAAGAAAATAAGATTCACATAACTCTATGTGATTATAAAAATACTGTATATTTAGAAAAATAATCTGTGCAATAATGAAAAAGATGGTTCTGTTTTAACCTGTTAACTTACCACAAAGAAATCAGTTTTTATGTCTGAAAATGCACACAAAAAAGTAGCTGCTGTTCTTTAACTCTGAGGAGGTTCAAGGTTCAGATATCAAACTATTAATGGTGGAAAGTGGCCTTATTGTTGCCACATGATGCTGCAATTCTGGAGGCACCACATACAGAAAGGACAGTTAAGGGGTTAAATTCATGAGGCCTTTTAAAAATCAAGTTTAGACTGAGAAGAGATTCTTTGCAACATAAATTAACCTTAAAAATTGTTTTAAAATCCACCCATTCCAGTTTACTCTTCTTCATATCTCATATTTTCAGTTGATCTTAAATTTAAAATATTTTTTAGCCCAGATTTCTGACTTCAGTAATCATCCTATTATTTTTTTATGTGTTTAGTTTTTTTACTTGCAGAGATCAGATTATTTAACAGCATCTTTATTCCAAACAGAAAATCAAGACAGGCTCAACAGTAACAGGTTTTCAATGTGCATGTGAGATAGAGAGAAATATCCTTTTAGAGTATGTGTCAACTTCATTGCTAAATCATTAAACTTTAAGCAATCAAGTTTTTTTGTATGTTTGCAAAATGTTCTTTATCAATTTTTTCATTCTCATTGAAACGTTAAGGTAACTTTAAGGCAAGTAATGATCCATACATCTGTGTTTCTGCTTCAGATTTGGAGAGACTATGGAGAAATCAACATTGAGGTTGTTCTTGCTTGCTGCCAGAGTAAGTCCAACCTTCAGGTTGTGTACCATCATTTGCCAGAATACAAAACACTGCATTATTTGTTCCCAAGTAGCTGTAATGACCTTAGTTGATCAAATTAATATTAAAACCATTATTTCTACACTAGTTTCATTAGATAAATGTTGGTACTGTCTTTCTGGGAGACTTCATTGGCATGAAGTGCCTTTATTTTCTGTTTTTTTTTCTTTTAATATCTCAAAAACCCTCATAACCAACTGGAGGTCATATAGAAACACAAGATCTTGGTTCAGCTGGTAATCAGTTTTGCTTTAGCATCACTGTTAAGTAAGTTTAATGACTGTTTCAAGCTCTCTTATTAGATGATGATAAATGATTCCTCTCCGGGGTCATGTGCTTTTTCAGTGCAATTTTTCTTATGTGATGTTTACATAATGTTAGACAACTTCAATTTAGATTTTATACATACTTTTATATACTGTAGATATATAGACAAAGCTCTCTCTATATATATAAATATATATACAAAAACAACACATAAATCTTTGGGGTATTAACAGTCTGCTTTGCTGAAAGCTGGGAGCCATCCAGGTTACTTCAAATAATCAACAGCACTAATTAGCCTGCATTAAGCTGAGATATATAAATAGTAAGGAAATTATTTATTAAAATGGTTTAGGCTTGCAAAAGAATGGCAGAAAGTATTCATGCATTCTGGAACTATAATGTATTTTAACTGAAGCCTTCTATGATTATCGTTTTTCTCATTTTTTCATCTCTTTTCTTGTACCTTCCGCTTTACTCTTCAGTGCCTATGTTTATGTTCTGAACGTTAACGTTGTGCCTAGATGGCGTGGTGCAGAGCCTCCAGGATGGAGGGTTCTTCAACGACAAAGTGACAAAGTCCTGCCTCTTCAACACTATTCATGATGCAGTTTTGTACTGTCAGTCTGAAAAACCAAGGCGCCAAAGTTATGAAGACTATGAAGAAGACAGTGAAGAAGAGGTAGGAGGCTTATTATCAGGCTTTCTGTTTAATATTAATTCTGTGACAAAACAGGATCACAAAGTTAGCAAAACTCATATTAGGAAGCATTCTCTTCACCAAAATATTGTTTTGCTTCAATAAATCAATTATTTCTGACTCTGAAATATTTTAACTTTTTAGTACTATGCATCAGAACACAGTATTACTTGGAATAATTCTTCACAATTTCCTAATTTAACCAGGATGGGCTTGTTTCCATATATAATATGACGTGAAACTGGATATTTCAGGACGTTTAAAGATTTTTCTTTCAACATTTCTTCATGAATTTGACACAATACGGTAATTTTGTTTTTGGAAACTCATTAAGGGACATACAGAGAAATTGGTTTGGATGTTAAAGCTTTTCTACAGGGAGAACAGGCAAGGATGGATGTAATAAAAGACAACAATGCAGCAAAGAAAAAGGCAGCAATTTAATACGGTGTTGAAATCTGACATTAGTATTTATCAAAGTCTATACTTTAACCCCTTGAACCCTACGGACCCACCGGCGGGTCCAGCTGCTACATGACCTTGTAGTTTTACCAAACCCCCAGTTTTGATGTAAAAAACATATTTGGCACAGTTTGGTGACATTTATGGATAAATGTGCCAAAATGGCCTCTCCGCCTAAGAAATTTCTCACTAATACCATTCTAAAATAAATATGATTCATCTGATTGAGTCCACATTTTGTATCTTTTTACACAACATTTAGATTTGAAAGTCTGTACTACTTTTTTGTGCTATAAATAATATTTTGGTAGTGTTTTGCAATGTTTATTTCAAAGAAAATTTTGGCGAGGTTCAAAAATTGCAAAATATTTTGTATTTTGTCCCTAATATTTCAGGCAGGGTCAAAGCTACAATGGTGCTGACACCAGAAAACCATTCTATGACATCTTACCTTTACAGACGTACCAAAAGTTTCTTCTTAAATCTAATAGCTTTGAGGCTATAAGTTATTTACTTTTGTGTGTTTTTGTCAGGCAGATATTTATTTATATCCCCTTAGGGTGTAAGAGGTTAAATAAAATATTTAAATGTTCTTGTTTCTTATAGAGTTTTAGGGGTCACCAGTAAAAGGGAGTTAATATGGTTAAGTTTTGACTTTATTATTCAAAAATTAAATAAAATCATTACAGAAATATTCTCTGATGCTGAAAATAGCGAATACGGGACAGTAAATAGGCTCACAATTAAGAGCGGTGTTATTAATGTGACTTAATGTGCCACATTCACAGATAACAAAACAGTAGGAATTTTGAGATGCAGACTGCTTATAAGTCGGAGTTGATCAAACTGATAATCAGCAGCTTTCTCTGTTTTGAAGGTTTTAAGCCTTACAAATTCAACTGTATTCATATGGATAATTAATTACTGCCTTTGGCAATATGGAATATCAATTTGTTATTAAATATTAGTTGTTTTCTGGTGATATTTTCCAACACTTGCTTTCACTGTGGCACCGCCTCTCATGTTACTCAGTTTCTTTAGGAAGGCAGAGCAAAATCTGAGATCTCTCGCAGCTGAAAAACACATTTTTATTACTTGGAACATTGGCGTAAAAAAAAGTAGTGCTGCTGTGACTGTGTAGATTAGGTGCTAAAAGAGCCACTTCAACTAAACTTTGCTCTGCCTCACATCCCTGATCATTGATCGAATAAAGCAGGCTTGTTGTTTACTGGACAAAATAGGTGCCTCCTTGAAGGATGCGAAATCGCTGCCCAGCATAAAATGGTGACATTGACAGGTTTTCCTGTCAGAGCTTATTACGTATATTTAAATGTTAAATTTAACTTTCAGCTTTTAGATACAAAATTAGAAACATCCCTTTTTAATTTATAAGGAGAGCCCCCCATCTAAAACCAATTTGAATGATAATGAAAGTGATTAAATTTGATTGAGTTCCCTTTGCAGCTCATGGTGAACCTAATGCATTATGCCTCTCTTGATTAACAATGATTTAGATGTGCCTCAATTGCTTGGTTCATTTACCTCCTCTACTGTATGTCCAGGCACTGTGACTGAGACAGCTCATTAAACACTGTTTGGATATATTTATAGCTGAATGAGTTTTAACTTGAAACTGCTAATGCTTTCCAATGCACAATTTAACAGACAACCTTTGCTCTATGAACTGTCATTACATCTCATTCCACCACTGACCATTAATGCAAATAGCCTCTCTGAGTTTGGAGCAAACATACCAAATGGCTTACATAGGCTGTTTAGATTTCATCTGACCTCATATTCAAACACTTTTATATCCTAGCATAGCTTTCAGTGAAAACACTTTTGTTTGTGCACAATCTGCTCTGGTATTTATTTTTTTTCTGTTGGAAAGAGTTATTCTGCAAAAAATTACGTGACTAATCTGTTTCAGATCCATTCAGCACCGCAGTGAGGAAATAAAAAATGACAGAAATGTGGATAATGAGGAGATTGTGTAAAGGATTGCACACATAAATGTAAATGCATGCAATATTAGAAGGAAAGAGGGAGATTTAAATAAAATCTGTGCCCACAAATTATCCTGAAAGTGTTTATTTTAATAATAATAATATAAGAAGAGAGGGTGTTTGTAAACCAGTCTCCTATAAAAATAGTTTCCTGCAATTTAGTCACTCACACAAAGACCAAAAATGTTATGTGGCTATGTGAAGAAATGCTAAGTTAGGGTCTCTGCAGGGACAAAAAAAAATGACAGGCTGTTAAATTCACCCTAAAGCCTTATTAGAAATTCAGTTTTAAAAAACATCCCAAAAGTCAGATGATAATTTAATAGAAAAATCCGACCCATTGCTTCAGAGAACGTTGCCTGCTGAGTCACAATTTCAAGCAGCAGCTTCACAGTTTTCCTCCTCAATAAACTCTGAGATGGAGTCTGTGGAAAACACTTTTTTGAAAGTCAAAAAATACTTTTTTTTTTCAGCTTTCCTCTTTTCTGTGTCCTCTTTCTTCGCAGGATTTGAAAGAAACTAATTTCTAAGTCCTAAAAGAAGAGACGGAGGATGTGACAGAAACTGGGAAGCAGGATTTCATCCAGACAGCTTGAAAATTCTGGAACACCCTGTTTCATAAACATACAGTGGAAAACAAATACAGGATATTTTTTTTTCTACAGAATGTATTTTCTTGAAATTGTATAAGGCTGAATATAGGCATTTTACCTCCATGACTGTATTTCTATGTTGTGTTATTTGCTATTCTTTATGTTGTACTGAATTGATTTAAACACTAAGTTTTGTGTAAATGTGGACATATGTGTCCTGCTGTTTTATGTGATCAGTATGAAGTGTTTCTTTAAGTCTAAAGTGATCCATTGTACTTTAATCTCTTAATTTATGGATGCAAAAAATATGTCATATTAAAAATATTTGCTAATGTGCAAGAGCATCATGATAGATCATTTTACATTTTGAAAATATGTCAGGCAGTCTTAGTTTGGCACCATAAGTGGAGAAAAAAATAGAAAATCAGTGGTGGTTCTAGACTATATCTACTAAGGGTGCCAGGGAAGGGCCAGTGTTTTTCCATTAGGCAACAAAACAAAATAATGAAATCATAAATTTTTTAGCCACATAGCCGAATATCTTCTTGCTTCTCTGGAGGTGCATGTTGCAGATAAACCCCTGACCAAGCAGAGGAGAACTGGCGTCTCAGTACATCTGCAGTTTAAAGTGCAAGACCTGCATTTGAATCAGCATTAACACTGATCTAAAGTGCCCTACAAAAATTATCATATTTCCAGAACCTTTCCCAATTTCTCCACTCTCCAGTTACAAATGTTAATTTAATTAGTTGATTAAGAATTTATCTAATCTCCCAATGCAATATAGCTCCTAAAAGTGCCAGGAAGACATTATGTGGCTTCTGTATATTTCATGAACAAAAATGTGTAAAGCATGGAATGCGTTTGCATTCAGTTCCCTTGGGTCTATACTTTGTAGATACCACTTTTACAGAATCTATGTAACCATGTTCTACAAAATATAAAGATTATATATGAGATATAGCTTGTTTTGTGTCGGGTTGTTTTTTGGCAAAATACCTTAGTTTAGTCAGATAGATGGGGAATTGTTCTGAAAATGTTTAATTCTTGCTAATTAATTCTAAAGCTTCATTGTTGATCTTGATGTATGTTTAAGGTAGTTTCCTCTTAAACAGCCTCTAACATGCTTCCCTCCAGGATTTCTCTGTTTTAGCTACATTTACCTTCCTTTATGCTGGTGGAGATTCTCAGTCTTCCAGTTCATAGTCATTTCAAAAAGTTAAAGTTAAAAAAGAAACCACTGGACATGTTTTCCAAGTTTGAAGACGTTTCACTTCCCATCCAGGAAGCTTTCTCAATTCAAGATGTCTGGATTAGAGTTAAGTCTGGCTTTTGTAGAGTAGCCCAACAAAAGCCTTGTAATGGCTTAGAAAACATGCACCCTGAAACTGGAAAACCAGCTCCACCCCTTAATAATTTGAGTTCCTCTGTTTAAGGTTGGAAGCAACCTTAAACAGAGAGGGTGGACTCAGGTTTCAGCTCTACAACGCAGCGATGCAGTTGATTCCTTCCCAAAACCATCTTAGCCCCAAAAGCTATGCAGGGGTAAAATATATCTCGCCAGGCAAATAATGACCCTTAACGACTGCCTTTTTAGAGGAACGGGCCAGTATCGGGTTTAGCAGGCCAATAACACCTTCAACGACTCTCATTATTAATGGGTGGAGCTTTTTTTGGGCTACTCTATAAAAGTCTGGAACTCAACGCTAATCCATAGATTTTGAAATGAGAAAGCTTCCTGGATGGGAAGCGAAACATCTTCAGACTTGGAAAACAAAGTCCAGTGGTTTGTTTTTTAACTTTAACTTTTTGGATGTACCTTTTTTTTTGCCAGCATATAAAGTATCCCCACAACACAATGCTGCAACCAGTATTTCTCCCTGAGGGTGTAGGGCTTTATATGAAGTATAAGTTTTCAGCCTTTTTGCAGCACAGTGTGAAGGAAAGCCCTGTGTTTATACCTTGAAAGTTTCTCTCTCCAATGCTTTTCATGAGACATGTTTTGCTTGGAGGTCAAAACTTCTATTTTGCAGAATACATTTTACAACGCACCTGCCCCACCCCTTGTACGGCTTATTTCAAGCTTTAAATGAGACTGTCAGGCCTTTCTTTTATTACTAACTTTCTTCCTGTCACTCTTTCCTAAAGGTCATATTTGATGCATGTATTCTTATCCTGTTAACAGCTTCTTCTGCTTTTCCGTTGGATCTCTGCAGCTCCTCCAGAGTGATGCTGAAGACCTGTAGTCTTCAGAGGATGGCAGTACAACACAAAGATTAAATAACACAGATATATTCTCTGTTTAATAATTAGGTCAGTTCTACAGATAAAAATGATTGCAGTGGATTTTATTTAAGACATTGGGGTAAAGAAAGTGAAGACAAATGCAAATGGATGATACATTTTTTTATTTATTTTCAACATAACTTCTATTTCTACAGTTATTTTTATGTTGTGTCTTTCACATAAAATAACACAATGCATGAAGCATTTTTGTTTTTTAATATGACACAATGAAAAAAAAGTTAAATGAGCGATGTACATATTTGATGTGTCTTATTTTCCTGTTAAAATTTAATTCAAAAATGTTACACAAATGCAGTTAATGTACCATGAGGAGAGAAGTGTTAAAATGTGACCAAAGTATGTTTCTCCTCATCTTCTTTCCTGGGCCCACGTCTTTTTTATGTATATATATATATATGCAAGCAATTAAAGGAATGGAAAGAGATTGGTTACTATTATTCCTCAGAGGTGATTACCATTCTCAACACTCTTTAGCTAACCAAAACCAGGTATGGAGAGTCATTCCTTATAAGAAAAAAAACACCCCACTGTGAATCATATTATAGTAATTTTAAAACAACTAAATGTGCCACTAATACTTACAAAAAAATTCCTTTATGATTTGATTTTTCCCATTTGATTTTTTTTTTTTTTTATCATATGACCTTCCCATCGCCATCAGAGGCACATCCTGAAAGTTTTTAACTGGGCGGCCATGGTGGAATTCTCAATCATCAACGTTATGACGGGTATTTAGGACTTTTATTTTACCATCATCCTATAAGCGGGATGGCATTTTGAAAATGTTCTGCAAAGAATAAACATATAAATGAATCTAGAAACTAATTGAAATGTATCCTTGATTGTACTGTTTCCACTTAAGATGAGTGAGGAGTTAACCACTTCAGCAAACGTAGGACATGAGCCAGTAGAGGTCAGCAGAAATAAGGTTTCCAAGAGCTTTTTCAGTTGCTGAGAATGACTGCTGTCTACTACACACTGATTAAAGAGATTAGCTTCTTCCTATTTTGGCTTTAGCACTTTTCCCTTCAGCAGTTAGTTAGAATATTAAGTTAAGAGATCAGATACCCAAATATCTAATATATATTAGGTTTTATAATTTGATTAACAGGTGAAAATTGTTTAATTTTTCAAGTGTTTGTTGTAATGGACCAAACTTCAGAAGATTATTTATTCTGGAATGGAGATATTTTGGTTTCAATGTGTGTAATTACGGTTTATTTAGTTTTTCAAATATTTCTCTCTTACAGTTTGGCTTGGAGTTTAAGAGTTGGTTGTCTTTGGACAACAGGTAGAAAAAGGATCAGTCTTTGAATGTACAGATAAAATAATGAACATTAATGAAAGCTCTACCCAATGAGGGTAAAGTGGTTCAGGTACAAATGCAGTACTGAGGTGACACATGCATTATTTTGACATTTTTGTCCAGATACACTTTGAACCTTCAACTCCCTCCCAGTATAATTAGGTTGATTTAAAATGTTCAGACTGTGGAAGCTGTTGCTGCTGACCACACAAGAAAACATCTTGTATCTGTGATTTTAAATAGATTACGGTTTCACTCTAAACCAGCTTTAGAAGGATTTTCTAAAACAAAACAATTCTGCTCCCATCTGGACTCCACCTTGAAACTTGTTGGACTTGAAACGCCTACAATGGCACATTCTTAAACAGAAAACTTTGACAAATGACAAACATCTTTATTCACCCATGGCAGATTTGTCAGGACTAAGGCTACTGAATGGGTTGGTAAACCTTTATAACCCAATTGTTGAATAAAACAGTCAGCTTAAATATGACTCAGGGTTCATGCCTACAGATAGGTTTAGATTTATTGCGATGAGCAGCATGGCCTTGGGCCCTACACCCCTCATCCCAAACAAAAAACAGTGGTAATATTCACCCTCTTCTACTGTGGTCATCCTAAAAAAGTACAGATGGTGGATGATGATGTTGAAGTCATCAACAATGATTTGTTTATAGATCAAAGAGTAATATCAATGCTTATTTTAAAGAGTATGGAGTGCATTGTTTCTTTTTTCAGTTAAAAATCTTTATTGCTGTAATTAGACTGTTCATAAGTAAAAATCTGCGAACATAAACAGTCTCGGAATACTGTAAAAAACAAAAAAAAACAAACATGCAGACCATTAAAACCTAAAGTTCCATTTAAATTGGTGGGGTTGAAGTTCCGCATTAGTGTTAAAAAAGGGATAGTGCTGATTTTTTATTGTAGCTGAAGTTTATCCAGCCCATTTGGAGCAATACTTTGTCTTTTTTTCAGTTTGCATTTATTTCTAGAGGTTTCATTTTATTTTTCTCAGGATGGATTTGTACTTGGTAATGTGGGGATAACAGAAGAGGATTGTGAGGTTTGCCTGGGTTTTGAGGTTTTTTTGGTGTGAGTGAGCTTCCTATCACAGAGAGGATCTTTGCTGATGTGTTGCTGCACACCTGAGAACATTTCTCAATCAAAGGGGCAAGTGCGTATTAACTGAGGTGTACTGTAGGCTTATCTCTCTTCACTGGATTATTTACCCTGATGGTATTCCAGCCAAATATCTAACCCAGGAATGTCTTTCTTGTTGAAATCTGTCTTTTTGTGAATCCCTTCTAATCTAGAGAGGTGTGTAATTGTTCCAGGCAACCAGTGGACCTCAGTTCATTTCCTATCTTCATAGAAAAGGTCTTACCTGTATGCAGCAGTTCTCAGTCTTCTCTTGGACCTCTGGGGTACAGCCTGCAAAACCCACTGAAACAAACCTCTACAGATCCATGCTACCTTCCCTGCATCTCTTAACTAAGAAAATCAATCAGTTGTCATTAACCAACTCCCTCCTGATTAGCCGGCTTTCTCCCTTCAGAGCAATCAGAAAGTTCAGCTGACTTCCTGCAGTTCTCTGCTTCCAGATTTTTGTTGCATTTTGTAAATAAAACTCTAAAATCCACTGGTTTTCTGTGTGATTCTGCATATCAGACAAAAAGCTACTAACAAACATGTCAAGGGTTGCTCCACGTACCATTTACAAGAGGACCTCCACTGATCAGGTATCACTAAATGATTCATTGTATTTTCCCTGGTTTTCTTTTAGCTCTTAGTTCTTAGCTCTGGTACACATCTACAAATGGATGTGAAGATCCAATTAACCTGGAGGAGGACCTAAGAACAACAGAAAGCAGTTATAGGTTTAGTGATAATGAGTGTTTGGAGGAATTTAACAGGTTTTTCTTTTCTCTGGTGCAGATATGTGATAGTTTATATATCATTGAATACTAACAATTAAAAGAAAAACGCAGGATATCATAGGGAGAATACTTGTAATCCTTGCTGTAAAAAAAAATAAGGTTGGCTATTAAGTAATTTCAGTTTTCCACATTTTGGAGAAAAGTAGACCCTGCAAACATAAATTCAGTCTATACTAAATTAAAACATAAAAAAAACAGACCTAGTTTATCATATGATATTCAAGAAAATATTCTCTTTGAAATAAGGTTTGACGTTTCATTTGTTCCAAAATTTAGAATAAAACCAAAAAACCAACATGAAATCTGTTGTTTCACAACATCTAAAATCCTGAACAATGTTGTTTCTTCTGGATCCTCAGCTGATTGATTTGAAATATTTTACATGGATGAAACAAACTACAAAACTTTGAG